TACATAAAGTTTAAAAATTCATATTGATTTAAATAATCATAGCGACCCCTCCTTGGGGTTTCCGAGGTGGTATCTCCACAGAAGTATATTGCTTAGTGTTCCTTCCAAGGAGTAGCTGGTGGGTTTGAACCGTTAGCCTTGTGGTTAGTAGTCAAATGGTAAAATGCCTTAGGTACTATGCCACCAGAGCTCCTAATGAAGGAACCAAAAACCAAACTCACTGCTGTCAAGTGGACTCCGACTCATAACGACCCCTCCTTGGGTTTCCGAGGCAGTATCTCTATGGAAGTAGATTGCTCACCCTTCCTTCTGAGGAATTAAAGAACAGGGAAAATTATTCCTTAAGTAGAATTCCATTGGTAAGTGTAGAAGGAACAATGAAAATAGAAAATCACTATTTAATGAACACAGTTATTGTTTTAGGCAAGAATCATCAATGAATACTATATTTATGTAACCTCAAAGTATCTGCCCACCAGATACTTATTTACAAGGGAAAAGTATTAACATTACAATGGAGAAACTTAGTAGACAACACTTTAATCAGTGATACTGACATCACTGGTGGTAACATCAGCATCCTTTATCTTCTGACCTAATGTACTGAGAAAAGTACATCACCACTTCTATGTTGTTCTTCCCCAAAACATATAACCTTAATCTAATAAGACAAATCCAAATTGAGAGATATTCAACAAAATAAATGGCCAGTGTTTTTTCAAAAATGTCAAGGTGTTGAAAAGAAAGGCAAAGACAGACTGAGAAACTGTCCCATATTAGAGGGACAAAAGAGACGTGACAGCTTTAGCAACCTGAGAATATACTTGGAGTGTGATTGGCCAACTGCCCGCTGATGCACTTTGAAATCCTTCTGGGTGGAGGCAACACTTTTCATGGGCTGCTTCCAGCCAGCGGCTGAAGATGGCAGAGATACTAAAGCAGACCTGTTCCTAGGGGACAGAATCGGATTGAGGACTCCTCAGAGGTCTTACTAAGCCTTCCTCAGACTGCTTGGGGGTCTAAGAGGCTTCTACCCAGCTTTCCCTTCCCCCTTCACTCATTGTCAGACAGGAAGTGTGAGGCTTCCTCAGTCTTTACCAGATCTCCAGTCTTTAGGGTTTTATTCTTATCTTGGCATCTGCTTCCTGGGGTACCCAGACTAAAATGCAGTGTGTGTTCTTGCATTGGATCTGGGTCCAGAAATAAATGTAAGTGGGGCCATTGACAAATTCTGAAAAACTTGGTAGATTAGTTAAAAGTATAGTGCCATGTTAATTTCCTGGTAAAATCTGGAATTATTAACAAATGGCAAGTTTAAAAAAATACACACACATACACAAGAAAGTAGTTATTCTCTAGCACCTTGGGTTCATGGGTTCTTTTTAATAGTTTGAGTATGAGTGAATTTTCAGACAAATTAAGACACATTGTGAAGATTAAATTCAGACTTGCTTGTTTTTTTTTCTTTGTTTAGTTCTTCCATCCCCACTTACAAAAAATACTAACTTAAATAAAATTTTCCTCACTCTAAATAATAGCTGTTTTGTATGTCAGAAAGTTAGGAACCATTTGGAATAAGGAAACCAAGTTCTTTTCTTGGCTCTGCTACTTAGGGTAAGTCCTTTAACTCAAGAGTCCTTTGTTTACATCTAAAATGAAGGAAAACAGTAGGCACCTAACATTATCAAAGTTTGGTTTATTAGGTATTCCGTACTCTCCTAACTCCTATGGAATCATTGGAAAGATTTTTTAAATGCAAGTGATTTTTTTGGCATCAGAGACCTAATATTAATAAGAAAATAATAATGATCACATATACTTACGTAGTGCTTACTGTGATCTAGTACTTTACCTGAATTTTAGTTAATTCAGATAAAATGGTTCATTCAGTCAACAAAATAGCTGAAGTGCCCGCTATATACCAAGGTCTTGTTTTGAGACTGTAGACATAAAACCGTAAATGAGACAGTCCTTGCCCTCTGTGGTAGTTAAGTTTGTGTGTCAACTTTGCTAGGCCTGGTTGAGTGGCTGGGCACCTGGATGTAGTTATTCCCCATGATAAGACTGGTAATTAACTCCATGGTGGAATATATTGGAGCAGTTGAGTAGCTGCTTTAGGGATGTGGTCTGCTTCCTGTATGTAAGCAGCAGCTTTGGGAATGGTCTCTAGCTTGTGGCACACTTGAACCCTGCATGTAGCTGTGTCATTCAGCAGCCTGCCATGCTCTGCCGACCTTGGGACTTTCAGTGGACTTGAATTAATGGCCTGCTGTGTGGTTTGGTAACATTGGGATTGTGCCTTGTTATTTGTTAACCTTGGGCTTGTCAGTCTCAGCAGCCAGTAGCTGTCTGAGTGAAGAAAAGCCTCCAGCTTCAGTGGGCCGGGTGCAGGAGGCAGAGTGGAAGCCCAAGGTTGAGAGGCTTTCAGCTAGCCACTAGAGCCTGGCACTTTGAACTAGGACTTAAAGCCTCCAAACTATGAGAGAATAATCTCCTGTTTGTTAAAGCCATCCCATGTGACAGAAATATACCAGAACACCCTCATTGAGCTTACGTTCTGATGAAGAATTCACTGGAATTTATTAGCTCCTATTAGGTTTCCAGGGAGCTCTGGTAGCATAGTGGCTAAGACACTTGCCTGCTAACCAGACGGCTGGCGGTTCAAACCCACCAGCCACTCCTCGGAAGAAAGGTTGGGCAATCCTACTTCCGTAGTGATACTGCCTCGGAAACCCAAGGAGGGGTCGCTGTGAGTCGGGCCGACTCGACGGCACATAACAACAACAACAACATTAGGTTTCCATAGGAGTACTGGTGGTGTAGCAGTTAAGGGATTTGACTGCTAAACAAAAGGTTGGGGGTACAAACCCATCAGTCACTCTGCAGAAGAAAGATTTATTAGGGACCCATACTCTCTTAGCTCCTACTGTATCTATCCATAGTATGGGAAATAGTGCCCGGTAGTTATTACTCAGCAAATGTTTATTAAGTTGGTTTGAATACTAAAAAAATTTTTTTTAACATTTTTTGTGTGTTTGGGTGAAGTGAGCAAATCAGTTTTCCATTCAACAATTTATATGCATTTTGTTTTGTGACATTAGTTGTAATCCCTTCAGTGTAACAGCTCTCTTCCCACATCCTCCCTGAGTTCCCCATTTACATTTGTCTTCCTTTCCTGTCCCTTCCTGCTTTCTCAACTTTATTTTTGGGTAAATGCTTCCCTTTTGGTCTCATATGGTTGATTGTTCTGAGGAGTATGTTCCTCACAAGTGTTGTTGTTCATTTTGTAGGCCTGTCTGTTGTTTGGCTGAAAGGTGATCCTGGAAATGGGTTCGGTTCCAGGCTTGAAGTGTGTCTGAGAACCATAGTCTCAGGGGTTCCAGCAGTCTCTGTCAGTCTAGTAAGTGTGGTCTTTTTTTATGATTTTGAATTTTGTTTTACATTTTTCTCCCACTCTGTCTAGGACCTTCCACTGTGATCCAAATCAGAGTGGTTAGTAGTGGGTGGTAGTAGCCAGGCACCATCTAGTTCTTCTGGTCTCAGGATAGTGGAGGTTTTGGTCAATTAGTTTTTTTAAAAAAAAATTTTTTTTCTAAAAGTATGGCTCCTGTTCTTTGTTATGAATCTGGTTAGAAAGGGCAAACTGTAATTGATGAAAAACTGGAAGATAATACCAAGACAATATAAATTAAGTCCCATGTATAGGTAGTATGTATTATATGTGGATAGAGAGAGCAGGGCAGGAATTATTTGAGGAAAGCTTCACAAGGAAGTGGAGCTTCAGCTAGCTTCAGAAAGATGCATGTATCCAAAATCCTGTTTGTCTGGGCATTGTGAGGAGATATGAGAAATGTTGATTTTCTCAGATGTCACAGTTATGTGCTGTTGTTATCTCACTGCCATTGAGCCAGTTCTGACTTATGGCAACCCTTTAGGGTGGAGTAGAACTGCCCCATAGAGTTTCCAAGACTCTAAATCTTTATGGAAGCAGACTGCTTCATCTTTTCCCCTCAGAGTGGCTGGTAGGTACAAACCACTGACCTTTTGGTTAGTAGTCAAATGCTTTAATGACTGTGCCACCAGAACTCCTTGGGCTGATGTTAAGGTTCTAATTTTTGGAGATGGTGGTCCTGGGAACAAAGAGATAATATCTAAATCACCTGAGGAGAGTTATTACAGAAACTTCAGGTTCTTAAATTCTTTATATCTCTCCTTATCACACACTCAGAAATAAGGGAATATTGTAATATAGGATGGAAGGAATAAACAGTAGAAATAGGGTAGGTCTGAATATCTGAACACTTCACATAGAATTATCCTAAAAGGATTTTTTTTAATGGTTATTCATTGAAACCACAACATTGTAATTGTTTATTGTAGAGTTTAGTACATAAGATTGATGTGATTCTGTGAGATTCAGTGACCCTTGGTGATCAAGTTAGGATTTAAAAAAAAAAAAAAAAAAGACTAGGAGTTAAATCCAGGGACTGGGAACTCTTGAAATTACAGTAATCTTGCTGGTTATGAACAATTTATCAAAGTTCTAAAGTGTTAAATTGTAATTATGAAAGCATTTATCCAGTGCTAACACATCTTTATAATAAGTCTTTTTGCTTGTTTACATTTAAGCTCGGTAAATTCTGGAAATGCCGATTAGGAAAAAGTCAGGCCTCAGTTACTCTAAGTGAACAGTCATCTGCTGTGGATGGGGAAGCACTTTGTCCATGTGATTCTGATCTGCTCTCCATTTCCCCCCTTTTACCATCTGAGAACCACTGATCTAAGTGCTGACTCAGTAATTGCCTTTTGTAAATGAGTTGGATTTTGTTTGCCCAAATGACTTTTATTTGCATGCACATAGCTCTTTAAATGTCAAAAGTGTTAATGTAAATTTTTAAAATTATTCTAATATTTGTTGCCCTATTTTAATGGTATATATTCTTAAAGACATTTTTCTTAAAAAGAAAATAAATAAACTTTTGTGTTTAAAGTGCACAGAAATGAAAAGAAAAGTAGTGAAGGCTGGCAGGCTGAGACTGAGTCCTAATGAAGAAGCATTTGTTTTGAAGGAAGATTATGAAAGGAGACGAAAACTAAGATTGCTACAGGTACAATTTATTCGGAATAGAGTTTCAAATCCTTTGTTCCCCCAAACTGTATTTTCTAAATTGGAGTATTCTCAGTAAAATTTTGTTTTCAAAAATCTATTTGTATAAGATCCCTGGTTCTTACCTACTAACTAGTTTTGGAACATTTGAAAAATAGGTTGAGATTGTAAATAGATTGAAGAATAGTTTGAAGATAGGCATTATTTGAATTAATAATTATTGGGAAATACTTCTTTAAATATATATTTTTTAATTATCTATAACTAGTCAGGATTAGAGCTGGAAAATTAGAATGGCTTTTAAGAAGAGTTATTAGATTATTAGTTGCTGAAGCAAATTTATTAATGAAGTTGTAGATTAAGCTTTTCTACAAGTCATTTTAAGGTAAGATAGGTAACTGTGAAGTGTGTTTTAGGTGCCACTCTGTCTAGCATCAGTGGTGATTTATCACCTATCTGTAGTTCTCATCTGGCTCTGACTTTATACATCTGGGCTATAAATTTGTTGAATCATGCCCCTTAGATTACTAGAGTGATAATGGCAGTCCCATTAGAACTTGGGAGATGGGAGGGCATAATAGCTAGTACTTAGGAGACTTTAGATATAGTTTTAAGAATTTTATTTTTTTCTACCTCACTTATATTTTCTGCTTTAGAAAATCCTTATGTTATATGGATTTTCAGAAGAATTGATAAAGCCTAAAGAGAATTCATTTTGGTCCTGTGTCCAAATAGTTTTTCCCAAAAAAATTAAAGCAAGCGTTCTTTTATATAATCTGTTAAATACTTATTCTTTAGGTTCGAGAACAAGAAAGAGATATCGCCTTACAAATAAGAGAAGACATAAAACAGAGGAGAAATGAGCAATTTACTCGTTTGGCAGAGGAGCTAAGAGCAGAATGGGAAGAATCACAAACTCAGAAAATAAAGAACTTGGAAAAATTGTATTTGACAAGTTTAAAAAATATGGGAGAGGGACATCGACAGGCCAAAGAAAATGTGAGTGAATGTTTTATTTGACTATCTGATGTGGCTCTGATTGTTAATAATAAATTACAGTCATTGACTATTTATATGATAAAAATGCGTAGAATTTGTTTGGGTAGTCTGAGGTTTTTTTTTTTTAAGAAATTTAATATAATTTGAGAAGAGTGATACTAAGTTTGTTTCCTAGTAATTGTCCTGTCAATTAAAATGTATGTGTGGTATTCAAATTAGTATTATTCTCTTCCAGTCCTTATCAATATGGATACATAAGCACCTTCTGAACTAGAGGCTGCTATTTATTTTGAATTTTGCAAAGATTCAATGGGGAGAATTCAGATTTCCCATTTCAGTATCATTCCTCATATACCTAAACATATGTATGGTTAAATATGTATACCCTTGGATTTCATTCACAAAGAATAAAAATCCTTTAACTTCTTTCAAAAAATTAAAGCTTAATATTTAAGACTGCTCCCTGACCTTAATTTGATTTGATTATTTATTGTAATTTATTGTTGGAAAATATTAGATGGTCCCCAAAATCAAAATCAACAAGCTGATTTCAAAGAAGGCAAGTTTTTGATAATGACTAGTGAGGAAAAGAAATGTCTTTTAAGAGTGTGGCAATCAAATGTTCTGTGGTCCCTGAGTTTAGTCTGTTTCTAGTAATAACCTTAAGTTCTGATATCACATGTTTATAACTCTATGTCTCTCACCACTGACTTAGTGGTTTTGTGCAGTGTTTCCCAAATTTCAAGAATACCATCTTTACAATTTTTATCCTGATTGAGGAACCAGTGCATTATTATACATTTGACATTTTAACTTAAAAAAACCAAACTCATTGCCATCGAGTTGATTCCAACTCAAAGTGACCCCTCATTGGGTTCTCAGGCCACATTTCTACGGAAGTAGATTGCCCAGTCTTCCTTCCAAGGAGTGGCTGGTGGGTTTGAACCACCACCCTTCTCGTTACCAGTCAAATACCTTAGGCACAACGCCACCAGAGGTCCTTTTAATTTAAATAAACTGTTTTTTTTTTTGTATTACTTAAATTAATTTTTAACCTTATTCTAAGTAGTTTCATATTCTGTTTGTATTCCTCTAATAATAAAGTTAAATTAGTTATACTTAAAATAAAATGTTTCCACTTGTATGGAGTATCGTCAGTGGTCTGATTACCACACTTGGAGAATTTCTGCTATAGTATGTGAAATGGGGATAACAATATTGAAGTCACTTCTGTTCTGATAGCAAATAAGATGCTTTTCTATTAATCTTGTTTAACATGACATTTTAAGAAATATATTTTTTAGGAACCTGATTTGGATGGTCTGGCACAGCAGGCAGCAGAACGGAAAAAACGAGCACAAATGAGGCATAAAGAGGCCCTGAAAATACAAAAAAATCAAAAGGAAGTATTAATGAAACAAAAAACCCGGTAAAGTAATAGTAATTTTTACCACATTCTCAACTGACACTGACTTGGCTGACAGTAGAGGGTACACTGGATACTGTATAAGCAGATGTTCCATAAAAGTCATCTAGTATAATATATCCACTGAATTTGTTAAACTTGATTTTGAAGTAATGCAGCGTGGAAGTGGTTTGCTTAGGTGAATGTAGTAATAACAAATGAGCTTTCTCTTTTACTTGTTGTTTGGACATTCTGTGTTTAGTAGTAATTACTAAGTTTCTGGAGAAATATGCTAGTTCAGAATGTTACTGTCTGGTAGCACTCATGTCAACCAAAAGAAAAAAAATCAGTACAATTAAAACATTAAGAGCAGTTGTGGATTCTTTGGAAGTCATTAGTATGTGTTTTTGGATGTTTTAGAAATTAAGGGTCCTGACAGTAGTCAGCAGTGGTCATTTTGTACAGAGGCCCATCTTTAGCAACATTTCTAGTTTCTTTATTCTAAACTGTTGTACAGTAAAGATTGTAGAATAAAGATTAAATGATTCTTGGGTTGGTCACTAATATAGAGCTTTATGTCTTTAGCTATACCTCTTGACTATTTGCCCAAGTACTATTTCACATGTATGCAAATAGCCTTTTAAATGACACAAGTATTAATATAAATTTTAAAAATTATTCTTGGATATCTATTGTATATAGGCTATTGAAACAGCATACTGAATTTGTGGGATCAGAGCAAAAGATTTCTTGAGTTCCTGTATTTTTTTTATATTTTTCCTCTCACAAATGATACTGTATTATTACCTGAGAGATTAATTTATGGCATCTTTTGTTTTCTTAAGGCATATAAAAGCTCGAAAGGAAGCATTGCTTGTGGAAAAAGAAAGATCTGCCAAAATTACAAGTCTGCCACCTCCTCCTCCAACTTTTTTTGAGGTGAATTATTTTAATGTTGAGAAGAACTAAATTATAATAATAATTCTTTGCTCTTAGAATTTAGTAGAGGTCAAAATAACCATCATTTCTTTAAACTTAATTTTTAATTGCACAGAAAACACATGATTATATCTGGAGTATTTAAAAATAATCCTACAAAACATCAATTTACCCATAAATATAGTATGTAGATTGCTCTGATGCATCGGGTTGTTGTTGTTGTTGTTGTTGCCATCGAGTTGGACCCGACTCATAGTGACCCCTCCCTGGGTTTCCAAGGCAGTATCACTACAAAAATAGATTGCCCAGTCTTCCTTGGACTTATGTTTTTGTTTTGTTTTGTTTTTTAAAAAAAACTACTGTTAGTATTCCCAGTATCATTTAATACTCAGTCTATGTTCAGTTTCCCTAGTTGATGCAAAAAAATTTGTTGTTTAAAAATATTAAGTAGCTTTGATTTAAAAATATATATATATTAGTTCTGCAGCTTTTGTTGTTGTTTATTTGTTGGGAAAATATTGGGATATTTATCCTAATGTTTACCACATTCTGGATTTGACTGATTAAAGTTCAGATAAGTTAATTAATTTGCACAAGATCTCCTGAAAGGGAAGAGCCTTTTTTTTTTAATGGAAGTAAAATGTGTGCTTTTACAATTTGCAACTCATTGTAGATAAAACAATTTATTAAGTCATGTAGATATTAATTTTAAAAGGTATTATCTTATTCACAGTAGCTTGTGTTTTTTCCTAAAAAGTTAGGTAGAAGTAAAAAAAATCTTATATTAAAAAAACAGTTGCCAACAAGTTGACTCCAACTTATGGTGACCCTCATTCATGTACTCTGTAGGGTTATCAATGACTGATTTTTTGGAAGTAGATAACCAGGGTTTTTCTTCCAAGATGGCTCTAAGTGGACTCCAACCTCCATCCTTTCAGTCACAGCCGAGGTCATTAACCATTTACACCACCCAGAGACTCCATACAAATCCTGCCAATTGCTGTTAAGTCCATTCTGACTCATAGTGACCCCATGTGTTACAGAGTAGAGCAGTGCTCCACAGGGTTTTCAAGGCTGACCTTTTGGAAGCAAATCACCAGACTTTCCTTTTGGGGCCCCTCTGGGCAGGTTCAAACCACCAGTGTTCCAGTTAGTAGTGAAGCACAAACCATTTTTGTCATCCATACTAGGCATGCCTAAGTTAATTTTATGTTTAAGTATGTTCTATATGTATGTGATAAGCCTTTTAGGCTTTTCATTTTATCAGCATTCTTTCTTTTATGTTGAGCCATTTGCCACATAACATTTGATCCAACAAGATTCAGATTAAGAGTCAGATTTCAGTTATTTCTAAAGTACCATTTGAAAGGATAAAGGCTAGGAAATATTTCACCCTGATCACCTTTTGACATAATCCTAATGTTTATGAAGAATGTACAAAAAGCAAATGAAATGTTATCTCTATAAGTGCTTTGGCAAGTATGAATTATATGTTAATGTGTGGTTGTCCTTTTTTCCCTTAACTTATTATACAAAAAAATGAAGAGTATAGTAAAAACCTGTATATCCAGTACTTACTGACATAAAATTTTATAGATTTGAAATAGATATATTTATAAATCTTCACATTTGAATGTAAATTGCAGAGATGACATTTTACCCCTGAATGCTCAGCAGCTTCTGAGAATAAGGACATTCTCTTACACAACTACAATACCATTATCACACTAAGGAAATTAACATTAATTTAGCATTTAATATTCAGCCTAAAATCAAAATTCTCTGATTGTCCCTAAAAATGTCTTAATAGCATTTTATTATTTTTTAAAAAACAACATCTAGTCAAGGTTCACACATTGCTGCTTTTTGTTTTATTTCTTTGATTTCTTGTAATCTAGAGCATTATCGACTCCTGCCCAAGGCAACTGTTTATTTCAGACTTAGTGAAGAGGCTAGTTTTTTGTAAAATGTCTCATTCTGCATTTGTTTCATTGTTTAGACATGGGATCACACACTGTATTTTCATTAAACTGGAAGTTAGGTTAAGAGGCTTGTTTACATTGAGGTAAGAATATTAAGTAGGTGATGCTGTATAATTTATTGTATCATCAGGAGACACAGAATGCAGGTTGTTTAGTTATTAATGATTATAAGTTTGACCATTTGGTTAATGTGGTGATTGCAGGAGATCTCCATTATAAAGATAGATTTTTCTCTTAATTACCAAGAAATCTATGAAACAATACTTCAGCACCATGCAGTTATCTATTATCCTCCTATATATTCACTGATCTACTTTTAAAAAAAAAGAAAAAGCATTGTCATCAGTGGGTGTGACCTTTAAGTTCCTTTTAAAAGACAGGTATATTCTTAGTTTTAGCCCTTTACCAATTTTTAAATTAAAGCGTTGTTTAAAATCAACTCCAATAGCAGCAAATGAGTTTTTCCCCTTCTCTTCTGGATCATCATGTTTTCATAAAAAATTATATAATTTTAGGGACTCTTTTTTTTCTCAAAGTTCTTAACTTCCTTGACAAGGTGCCTTATAGTTTAATTTAAAAGCTACTAAAATTGTTTTAATGTATATTGCCATCTCTGAATTTTTGTTTTGTGACTTCAGTTTATTAAAAAGATATGTGATTATATTGAAGCTTTAATTATAATATTAATTAGTTAATGGTTGCATTGGCAGAAAATATCTCCTTGCAGTTTTATCTTTTGCCTGATGTAAGGTCACCCTCTTATATCCATCTATATGTACTTCCAGGTACTTGCCAATAAGTACCTTCTGACTTGTCTAAAGCGTTCTTAACTTTGGCTGTGCATTCATATTTTAAGAGTACTACCGCCAGTCTCTGTCCCCAAAGATTCTGATTTTAATTGGTTTGCTATGGAGCCAAGACATTAGCAGCTTTAAAAAAAACTACTCAGATAATTTTGCCTTAGTTAGATTGTTCTTTTTTACTTGGCATTTCTTAATCCCACCTTCTTGCCTTACTTCCATGTTGTTTCTTCTTTTCATTTTATACTGAGTGCTTCTCATCATTTCACATTCATGTATATTAAAGCCAAGTTTTTGATGAGTCCTCAAAGTATTTTTTTCTAAACTTTTCTCTTCTGAGCCTGTTTTAAGTTTATGATAATAGTGTTACCACTTTTACAATTTTTCAAGTGCTTTCTCATACATTATTTTGTTCCCACAGTGATAGTCACAATGACCATATAATATAGGCATACAGCTGTACACTTGTTTTTCTTGCAAAAGCTTAGAGCCAGAAAAGCTGAAAGACTTTGCTAAGATTTCTCAGCTAGTAAATAGTACAGCAGACACTTAACAAAAGTGTTATAATTTCTTTTTGAATATTCATTATGTTATAAAATGCATGGCTTATTTGTTTCTAATTGTTAGAACTGATAACTTGAAATCCTTAAAGACAGAGGAGTATTCTTTTATTTTACTTTTCAACATCATTCATAATGCCTATCACAATGTTAACCTATGGTAGGTGCTTATGAAATTTCTTTTTTTTTATTGTGATTTGGGTGAAAATATACAGAGCAGATACACTTTCCATATAGCAGTTCACTTACACTTGGTGTCTCATGACATTGACCACAATTTAGCACAATGCAACATCTCCCCTCCCACTTCTTCCCGATAGCTGTCTTTTCCCTGTGTCCATCTCTCCATGCACTCCTACCTACTGAGCTGTCTCCCTGTGCTTGAGCAGCCCTTCTTTCTCTCATGGTTATGCTCTCCAAGGAGTATATCTACCTCAGGTAAATGCTCAACTGATATGCCTGTCTGTTGTTTGACTGGAAGCCACAAGTATGCATTCATTTCCAGACCTGAAGGGCAGCTAGGAGCCATGGTCTCAGTGGTTCCACCAGGCTCCATTGGGCCAGCAAATCTGTTCCCGCTTTTTTTTTTTCCCAAATGATTTTGAGTTTTGTTCCACATTGTTCTCCCTGTCTATCCAGAATCTCCTACAAAGATCCTCTTCCAAGTGGTTGACAGTAGTAGCCAAGCACCATCTATTTCTTCTGGTCTCATAGTCATACAGGCTAGAGATCGGATGGTGTACCAGTTGCTAGGACTAATTGTTTCCGTGAATTTTGGGTTTTCTTCATTCTTCTTGGCTCTGGACGAGGAGAGACATATCATTGCATTTAGATGGCAGCTTGCAAGCTTTTAAGATTTCAGTCGCTACTCGCCACAGTAGGAGGTGGAACAGTGTTTTGTGTAGTATGTTATGCCAATTGAGCTTGTTATCCTCTGCAACCATGGTCCCGAGCCCACAGGTTCAACTACTCAGTCCCTCTGGGTAGCTGGCTGTGACCAAGCAGTGACTACAACTTTGCCCTTTGTCAGCCCCGTTATACACCTGAGAATTCAGATCATACACGTAAAGTTATTGGACCACTGTCTGCCAACCCTATACATGTTCTTGGGTGCACTCGCCACGACATATACATACCTAATAGTTCAGCCTGTCCACCCATATACCCATGTTTGCCTTCACTGACCACGCTGTACTATATAAAGGGTTCATCTTTGTTGTCTGTACTTCCCACGTACCTCTCTCTGTCTTTCTCTTCCTCAGTGCCACTATATTGATCACTCATATTTGGTACATTGCCTTTTTCTTCACCCAAATCAAAACTTATCTCTATCTATCTAACAGTATTCCCTCCCCTCCCACCCCTGGTAACCA